AGCACCAGCACCAGCAGCAGCAGCAGCTTTGGAGGTGAAGCAAATCAACCAGTCCCCCTGTCACAGCCTAACCCCCCTCTCTCCATCCGTGGTTTTTGGGGTGAATCCCACCCAGAGCACGGTGTATGTGGGTCACTGCCCTCAAACGCACAACCTTCCCAGCTGACAGCAGAGCCGGGCCCATCTTGAAGTCATTTGCGATGAGATTTGTTTGCGAGTTGTGCTCCCTTCGAGCTCCCCAGCGGTGTGACAAACACGCGAGCGGCGCTGGTGGGGGACACGGGGGGGGTCTCTGGGCACCACGGAGCCCTAGGAAACGGGGCACAGGGACCCCCTGCATCCCCGTGGCATCGGGGGATGGGATGTGCATCCAGCGAGGGAGGGCGGTTCGATGCTCCAAACCACTTGATGCTCCGAAAAAGCACCAAACCCAACCCAGAATTAAAGGGAAAAGCCAAACGGAGGTGTGGCGGAGAGGTAGGAAACCACCAAGAAACAAGATTTCTCTGCCTGGGGTTTGAACACTGGCTGGAAGGGATACTGGAGGGACACCTACCGCAAACCTCCCTCAGCCACTTCCCATCATGGCTACCTCGAGGAGGTAAAAGATTTGACCCTAAAACCAGCTTCAGCGCAGGAGGTGCCGCCAGCAGCCGATGCCACCGGCGCGGCCCCGGCTCCATCTCAGCCTCCGTTTTCCACACTGCCTCCCAGCATCTTGCAAACAGTTTGGGGCCAGCATGCAAACGCCCACGCCTTCTGCCCAAACATCCATTTTTGTAGCAGCACAAAAGCAGCCAATTTTGAAGAAAACAAAACCAAAACAGCCCCTCGAACAAAGCATCAGCCAGCTTCGCCCCCCCACCAGAGCCCGGCGTTGCGGTTGGATGTAGGACAAAGTGCAAAATTGCTAAGAGCATCTGACTTGAACTCCAGCCCTAGGAATAAAAAACCACCCAGAACAATCTCCTCCTCTCTCTCACACACATGCACACACGCTGATGGCTAACGGCGGCCCTTCCCCCCAAGGTATAGGTACGCTTTGGGCTGCAAGTTAGCGCATTAGAGCCCTTATATAAAATTACTCCCCAGCCCTGGGCTGCCTTGCAGAGCCCCTGAAGATAATACAGAAGGTAAGATGTGCAGATGCTTCTCAGGAAGCCAAACTTGCCTTTTTTTGTTAATTTTTTTTTTTCCCCACTGGTGCTGAAATAGGGAAGAGGGGGGGATAACCCAGTCTTTTCCACAGCCACTGCTTAAAAAGAAACTAAGGAAGGTTCGATGTATGTACATGGAGGTGTTAATAGCAGCATTATTTGGTTTGGGGGTTGCAAATCTTCGATTACTGCAGCGGGTTCTGCCCCTGTTTCCCACCCCCCCTTATAAATTTATAGCAACAACCTTTCCCTCATAAGCAATACCATCCGTATCGGAGGATACCGATCATTAGTAAGAGATTTAGAGGGGATTTTAAATGTCTTCCAGGGCTTTTTAAGCAATCTGTTTAAAAGATTAATTTTATTTTGAAGGGATGGAACTGCATCTCTTGGAACAAAAAGTTAATTAGGACCAGAGCACCAAAATGCCATTTTTCATCCCGTTCTGTGACTTGTGGTTAGGCGCTTGACCTCCCGAAATCAGAAACTCGCTGAATCTCTCCCTTGGCCAAGTCTGACTTTCCCAGCAGCAAGTCCGGAGCGCCAGAAGCTGGTTTGCAGGATCCCAACCCCGGCCTCTCCGAGCAGAGCTTAAAGGAGCAAGGAAATCCATCCCGGGCAGGCATGGCAATGCCGTGTCACTCCTCTCCTAACTAACGCTCAGTGGAGACGGGTGGGAGAGCCCAGATGTGGGATGGGGCAGGCTGGGAGCTGGCTGGAGCATCTGAAACAAGGTCTTGCCCCAAGACCCAGCTGCTTGGGGATTTTTATGCAGGCACTCCTTGCGCAATGCAACGTAGGGTCACCCCTTGGGGGAAAAAAATGGAATTTCAAGGTGGTGACAGGAGCTGGATGCTTTTTTCTGCTCGCACCCACAGCAGCAGAAAGCCCCTTCCCCGGGTCTCAGGGTCCGGAGGCGATGCTGCCCAGCGGCGCCGGCTCCTCCTCCCTTCATCCCGCACCCAGCACGGAGGAGAGAAAAATCCTCCCAGCTGCAAAGCACCGCCTCGCCCGGCAGCAAAGCCAGCGGCTGACAAAAGCGATTAAAAATTGTGTTTGACAGGCTATCCTCCCACTAATAAAAACTGGAAATGACAGAGTGCCTTATTTGTCATGCTCGCTGATGCTCAGTGACGCCGTTGCCAGCATCTGTAGCAGCTTGATTCTGAAGGATTTTAAAGTGCTTGTTACTATTTAATGGCCCTTAACTGACGTGCCCCGTGGACTGAAGCTTCCCCTGTTCCTGTCGCCATCGGATAGCTGGGTTTTTTGTCTCAATCTCCATCCTCTGGGTAGGAGCTCAGGTCTGATGCTTGAACCAGCTGATCCCACCTGCTTGTGCACCCCCTTCGCATTCTTGTCCCAACGTCTGTCCCATGGTGGCACCGCTGAGGGATGGGGAGGAGGAATAGAAGTGTCCCGTGGTCCTGTAGCTCATGGGACACATCGTGTCCAGAGGGCTCTCCCATCCCGCCAGGACCATAAGGACCAGTCTGCTTCCTTTCCCCAGTAATTTGGCAAGGAAGAGTTTCCTATCAGAGTCCGGCAAGGTGGGCAATTTTTCCTTCTCAGTTGTGCAGGATTTGGGATGCCAAGATTGAGCTGGGGACCCCTGGGGCTCACAGGGGCCGTGGCGAAGCCCCCAGGCTGGTTCACGCTCAGGTCCAGCGTTTCGGAGAGCAGGAAAGAGGTCGTCAGCAGGGAATGGACTGAGTTCATTTTCACTTGTTCCTCTGAAAGCCTTTGCTGGGTCATATACAGATATATCTACGAAGATGATCCCTTTTTGGCCACACTAACACCAACTTCCATTCAGCTGCCTTTTTCCTCCGTCCTTCTAACATGTACTTCAAAGAGGTGTTAAGAGGAAAGTAACATCTGATCCCTGCCCCAAAGCAAGGAATCGTAAAGCCAGGTTTGGCTCTTCTCTCCTATTAATGCAAATAATCCACTGGTCCTCGTGGCTGGAGACTGCTGGGACAGGGCGACAGCCCCAGGAGGTCATTGCTGACAACGTGCCTATTTACTTTCAGGGTTAATTAACACGTACCCTTACCAAAAGAAAACAAAAAAAAAGTATTGCCGAGGAACAAGGAGGGAAGATAAAGCACCATCCCCTTCATGCATCCAGAGCCCGAGTGTCAGAAGGGCTCCCCAAGCAAGGAACACACAGCAAAAAGTGGCCAGAGAGCAAAGGGACCGAGCGCACCAGGAAAGTGCTGCTGCTCTTCTGCAAATGCCATGCGGCGATGTCCGAACAAGTCCTGCCCCTCCGTAGCTTCTGGAGTCTGCGCCGAGGGAGGGGAAGGAGAAGGCACCTCGCTCCGCAGGGCGGCACAACACCCCCCCACTTCCAGAAGCGGCCGGAGAGCTGGGCACCCACCGCCTTCCAACCAGGGTAGGAAACGGGCACGGCTCGCGCCCCTGCTGAGGCAGCACCGGCAGGGCTGTAACGCACCCCAAGAAGATTTTAATTCCCTTTAACACCAGCGTTTGGGAGGCGGGGGAACCAGCTGGAAAAGCTTTCACCTGCAGTAATCAGAGTCAAAAGGGTAATGAGAAGATAAGGGTGAAAGTCCCCTCTCTCTGTAACCTGAACCCTGGGATTAAAGTCCTGTTGGCAGCATTACCGTCACCGTCCTCCTCAAAGGCTGTCTTGATTTGAGCAGAGGATATTTGGGCACCTCCAGAACAGAGAGGGGAATTTTGTCCATAGGCATTTCTGAGGCGGGGGTTGCTGAGGGACGCTGCTCCATGGGGCATCTTCTGCTGCCTCCGCTTCGGGGACCTCCAGGAGGTTCCTCCTCATTGTCCTGGCCAGCGGCGAGTTTGCAGGGCTGCTCCTCGCACGGCGCAAGCCAGAGCACACGTGGGAAGCAGGGGGCCTTCACCCCATTGCACCGTGTCAGGAGGAGAGGGAAGACGGGACATCAGCATGGAAAAGAGGTGCAAGGAGAGGAAAAAAAACCTGAACAGAGTGCCCTGGACACCGGGAGAGCCCAGTCTGCCTTCGCACCGTCCCTGCCGAGCATCCCTCCTGCCCTGCTACCCAACCGTGCTGGATGCGAGCAGCAGCATCCCAGCGCCAGACCAGCACCGCAGCACACCCTGCCACCTTCCCACTCTCCCTTTCCAAATCTAATGAATGAGGCAGCTCTCAAAGCCCTTCTACATTCAGTGCAGGTCCAAAAGACACCGGCAGGTCCCAGAGGTGGAGCTCAGGGGGTGGCCATGCTGATTACAGACGCGCGGGAAAGGGTTGCAGCTCCAGCGCTCTGCAGCCTACGGCGGAAATCAGCCCTTCCAGGAAAAGGAGGAGAAAAGTTGGGAAATCAGTTTGCCTCTTTTCCTACCTAAATCCAAAACGCAAGTTGGCAAGACAAGCTAACGGGTGACCCTCTTTCTAAACACGTGCTCCTTTTACCGGAGCCTGCAAGAAGAACCTGAAACCACAACTCCTCCCTGTATGTTTTGTTTTCATTTGTTTTGCGGCTGAATAAGTTAACAAAAGGAAGTCAGACTGATTCTTTCAATTTGGCTTATAAAAAAAAAATAGTCTGGGTGCTAACTTCTCTCTCAGGCTTCAGGATTTACCGTCACTTTATAAACCCCTGAAAATAGGAGTTTATAATAGGAAACTCCGGACACCACCTTCACGAGCAGTGCCGCCTATCTTCCCCGGGATTGTTTAACAAGGGACATTTTGTCATTAGGGTAGGTTTCATGAATACTATACAGGTGAATAAAAAAATACATATATTCTCTTTGAACAAGAATCCCAAGTCCAGGCATGTGGAAGGCTGCGGCGCAGGGACCGGCGCGGGCAGGAGGTCCCCGAGTCCCTCACGAGTGATGGCTGTTGATCAGGCTGCGGAGCTGCTTGGCCACGGTGTCTATCAGCTTCTGCTTGTCCCTCTCGTTTTTCCGGAACTGGGCAAAAACGTTGTTTTTTCTGCTCGTGTCTCTCATCCTGCGCAGAGCAGAAACAGGTTATGGCACAGGTATCGCTGCTCAACGGTGCACCCAAGCCCCACGAAGGAATCGCATGTAAAGTGCCCGTATTCAGGCTCTGATAGAGAGAGGAGGTGACTGCATCTAAAGGCTCTACCCCAATTTTTATCATGTATTTGTGTAAAGACTGGCATACCAAGCCATGTGCAGGCTTCACACAGTTTGCAGTTTTGCTTTAAACCCCACAAATCCCAATCAATGTCACCGTAGGGTCTATCTCTAATGCCAAAACACGTGAAACCCTAAAGCCTCTTGTTCTCCCCTTCCAAACAGCTTTTGCTACGTCCCCATGTCACCTCATGAAGTGGTAAATGACAACACTGTGATATTAGGAGGAAATAAAAAAATTAGCATCAAATCCACAGCATTAAGGCTTCTTATTGGAAACAGTGCATTGCATGCGGCCAAGAGATGCAGTTTTTGTGGCAGTCGGAAAGATTCGGAGTTGTGAACTTAAAATATTATACAATATAATATAATTTATATTAAAGGAAGGAATCCAGCACTGGTTTCCTCAATTTAAAAATCCTCTTGAGATTTCTAGTTTTTTAAAATCACATTTAATACACGAAGTAGTGCACTGGTCTCCATGAGGTCTCCAAAAAGCCAGAGACAAGAAGAGGGGGTGGTGGGATGGGACCTGACGGCGAAGCTGGTGCAGCTCCATCTCTCTCCGCCATGCAAAGCCGGGGGTTCATGCACGCTTGCATTCGCGGATGCGTATGTTGGGGGGGGACAAGTCTCCTTGCACGCTCCAAGCGTTAGCTTCACGCAGGCAGGGCATGTGCTGGGAAGGGAAACCACCCCACCAGGGTCAACCCTCCAACAGCTCCTGAAGGTATCAGCCTCAGCATCCAACCCGCTGGTTCTCAGCTGGCACCGCTCTTTTATAATATCACAATTTGTAAATTATTTTCTCTGTGAATCAGATCTGGCAGAGACAGATGGCTTTGGACGAGTCACATAAACCTGTATTTTCAGCTTTGGGGACCTAAATGAAGCATTAAAGTGACGGGGACACGGCGCGAATAGTCCCTGGGAAGTTGGCACTTTATCAAACCGGGGTTTTTGAGTTAACTGAGCACAAATCAAACCTCTTGAAACTTATTTAATGGATCAAAAAAAAAAAAAAAAATCTAAGGTTTTTCATGCTTCGGTCTTCCTAAAAAGAGCCAAAGGGAATCTGAAATGTTCCCAAAAACATCCAGCTTGGAACTGGAAACAAGGATAACAACTTTATCCCAAAGGCTAATTTGCTAAAGTTATAAGTGCCCAAAGACACAGGATTACAATCGAGCTGCTTTCCCAACAGTAACAAGATAGCTTGGAGCACTTTTATTCAGCAAAACAAGTATTATTTTTTTTCTTTCTCTTTTTTTTAACCAAAGCAGGTTGCCAGCTGCTCCGCTGCGAGAACCAGGGAGCGATCGCACCGATGGGAAGCGGGGCGTTTGAGTCGCACGGGTTAGAGGTGTCACAGGATCATGAATTTTGGCAATAACCGTCCTCCCGCGGGACACCCGTTCCTCCGGCAGTGCTGTACGGCTCCAGCCGGCTTCAAACCACTTCACCAGGAGGGCTGAGAGCTCTGTTTCTATTGCAGAGGCTATGTGAGGACATCAGAGGTGCTGAAAGTAAACCTGTACCTTCAGAAACCTCCACCCAGAGCTGTACCCATCCCTGCCCATCGCTGCCTGCTGCAGCTACCCCCCCGGTAACACGGGGGGAATTCACAGCAGAGCACCCTCTGCCCTAAGAGCCCTCTCACCCTGGGCATCCTTGGAGCCATCCCTGATGCCGTGGGACCTGTTCAGGTCCATGAAACGTTTTTGAAGGAACGCACGTTGTATGCAAGAAAACCCTTGCACGTGTTTGAATGATTAGAAAGGAGTTGCATGGATAAAGCTACTGGATTGGGATGAAAAAGCCTCACAGTCAGAGTACTGATCCCACGACAAACCCACGTAGGTGGATCTGTTAAAGCGGGGATAAGTGTCCGGGAGGGACGGGAGCTGCCGGTATCTTCAGACATCACGTGAAGGTAGAGGCAGTAAGCTATTAAGTATCATTAATGAATGAAGCTGCCTATGGGACGCAAAATCCTGCGGAATTTGGGTGTGCAGTGCCAGGGACCAGGCAGCGTTGGCAGCGGCTGCATCCCTGGGAGAGGCTGAGCTTGCAGATCTGCTTCAGGAGACCACGCTGGCTCCGCTCCTGGAGCTGCCCTATAACGTGGTTGGTGTCGAGGTGTTCTGAAACGCCAGCCTGTTTCTTTTCCAGCATTTGGCTATAGTAAAAACCCAGTCCCTGATCAAGTGGTGCATCCAGACACCAAGAATATCAGCTTTGAAAGAGGGAAGCAATGCTTCCGAGCAGCTCAGCGGCTCTTTGGAGGATCAATACTTTTATTTCTCTAAGCATGTGCCTGCAGAGCCCTGGGAGAACCGAGCCCGGTTTTGTAACACGGTCCCTGTGCGTTAGCCCAAGAATTAAAAGTAAG